TGTAAACATTTAAAAACCCAAACAAGACAGTGCAGAATGAGGTGGTTGAGCCTTCCAGGTCCAGCTCTTCTTCCAAATATCAAATCTTCATCACTCACCCTGAAATTCAGACTTTTTTTCTTGGACTTTTGGGTTTTTATACTTCAAATATTCGATAGCCTTTGTGGGAGGAGGAGTGTGATAAATCAATTTAGGAAAGATTCATGGAGAGGGAATGTGATGATAGGAGAGAGAGAGAGCAACTGGAGGTTATTGGGTGCAAAATAAAATAATTTAGGCCTGGTGTCCAGCATAACTCAGACTCCTTGAGCTGTGCAATCATTAATTTAGGTGTTGTAATGAAGATTCGTGGTCAAGTTGTCAATTTTCCAAAAGCTTTTTTTTAATTATTAAAGGAAAAGTGGTGGAAAGAGAAGAAAAAGGGCTGGAAGTGTGGCAACTCCACAGGAAAAAATTAATGTGGAAAGTGGAACCAGAATTAATTCAGTCGTTGTACAGATGGACCGAAGAGAAATTCCTAATCCAGGAGGAAGTGGGATAGGAATGCAGATTTCAGCAGCCCCGTCATTCCAGATGGGAGCAGCAGAGGAAACAACTCACCTTGGATCCCAGCTCCAGTGGCACTTGCAAAGGAAACTCTGGAGCACCTCAAAACTGAGGGTGCACTCACAGGTCTGTGTTGGTGCCTTAGATCTGCCTCATCCTGCTCAAATCTCCACCAGGAAAGTCCCCACTTCAGCAAGGGAAAGTCCAGGGGCACTGATGGAAGTGTGAGCTGATGAGGCCGTAAAAGCTCTTGACCCCTGAGATGAGTGGGAAGCAGGATCTGTCTTGAATTGCCTCTTGGAAGGGCAATAATTCCATGATGTCACAGATAAAATTTGGCCTCTGTAGTGGCCAGGGCTCTGCTTGGGATCTCTCCCAAATCCTTGGGTGATTGAACTCCAGGAAAAAAAATTCAATTAGCAATGTTTGAGATGAAGTTCATGACCAAGGAAGTGACACCACGAGAGTGTGTGCAAACCAGATGGGTCTTGCTTTTTATGTCAATTAATGATAAACCTTCTGATTTCCCAGCTTCAGACTGGTGGGACTGGAATGGGAATAGCAGAAATGATGCTGCAAAGGTTCCTCTCAGCGTGGTGGGTGTGGCACAGGGCAGCCAGGTCCTCCTGAGGTTTGGATGTTGCACTTGGAGCAGAAATTGGGCAAGATTAGGTCAAAACCCACAGAACATCCTGAGTTGGAAGGGGCCTACGAGGTGCAAAATTCTGAAGCAGAAATTAAAAATCCTGAATTCTATGAACAGTCTCTTGACTCTGGAGGTTGATGTTGCTCTCAGAGTTAACTTCCAGAGAGGTAAAAGGGTTGTGTGCAATGAGCTGTTTGCTCTCTCTCCAGGTTCCTGGTGGACACACACACACACAATCCTTTGGAATCTAGGTTCAAACAGTTTGCCTTAGAAGGAATCTTAAAGATCATCCAGTTTCACCCTTTTTCCACTCAGAGGTGTCCACTCCATCTCCCACTCAGCCCCTTCTTGGAGCAAAATAACACAATCACAGGGTTCTGGCTGGCAGTTCCACCATAACAGCCGTGGCTTGAGTGTGTAAAAAACAAACACACACACGCTGAAACATTTCCTTGGAAAGAACAGCTTGGCCTTTGTGAGGAGCTGAGAAAGCGTCCGACTGACACCGTTGCCTTACAGGACCTCACTCAGCCGAGGTTGCATAAAAGGGCTTTATGGGATTAGAAGGGTTCCATGCAGCAGCGTGTCAGGTGGGGCAGCTCTCCCTGGCTCTGCCTGTGCTTTGTTATTGATGCCACGCTCTGGAAAGTGCCACCTCACCCCCCTGCTCCCAGGGCCTCTGGAATGTGCGTGCGGAGCCGAGGGCCCCCGTGGGGAAAATGTGTGTGTGGGTCTGTGTGTGTGGCTTCTGCTCTTCACCTGGCAGAGTTTCTGCGTGCTGGCGAGGGAAAACCCCTTCTCCCCCTCAGTTTGCTCCTTGGCTTGTGCCAGGGGTGCTTCTGAGCAATAATGCAGGCAGTGATGGGCAGATCTCTGTTCGTTGTTCTCCCAAAAGCTGTGGGAGAGTTGTGGCACCGTGAAGCACCATGAATCCCAACTGAGCAATAATGCAGGCAGTGATGGGCAGATCTCTGTTCGTTGTGGTGTTACATGGGTTGTTCTCCCAAAAGCTGTGGCACTGTGAAGCACCATTTCCTACCATCTGCTGGTCCCTGGATCTTTATTTTGTGTGTGTTTAGGTGACTTTTGTTGGTCAAAAGTCACCTAAACACGTTGCTATCAGCCAGCTTTGGAAGGCTGATCTGTGGGAAACTGGAACTTGAAGTATCCCAAAGCCAAGCACCTGAGGGGGGAAGGTGGGAAGAGGGTGAAAATCACCAACTGCTCTGCAGAAATCTTGGCTGTAGAATCAATTCCCATCTCCCTCCTCACTCCAAGAGGCATCTGCTACAGGACCCTCTGAGCTTTTTCCAGACCATTTAGGTGAACAATCCCTGCTCAGCTGGAAAGAAAAAATGGGGAGAGGGAGCTTAGGAAATGCTTGGACGCCTCCCTCCCTCTCCTTTGCCAGCTGAGGGCCTCTTGTGCCAACCATGAAAGTTTGCAGAAATGAATCTTTAGAGTACCAGGAAAGCCAGGAATTAATGTCCTGGGTATTTTGTTACAGATCTTTGCTCAAGTGAAGCTCAGACTGAGCTCTCTCCTGAATGAGCCTCCTGGGAGCTTTGGCTGAGTTTTGGGAGACACCAGGGCTGGGTGATGTCCCCCTTTCCTTGGGGAGCAGCTGGGACAGACCAGAAATGAAAGGGTTAAAATATGCTTCAACTAGACCTTGTTGTTTGGCCTTTCAGATTTTTTAAAATTATTATTTTGGGGGAAACTTGAGGAAAGATATTTTTCCATGTTTCCCACAAATCCCTCTTACCAGCGCAGGGTTTTTCTGGAGATATCAATACCTTTGGATGTAACTGGAGGAGAACATTTTCCTGCACATCTTTGTTCCAAATGTCCCACCTCAGCCATTTTTGCCCCCTCCAGAGATATCTGATATTAAATCACCTCATCAATGCCTCAGCAATGACTGGATCTGTACTGGATGTGCCTGGCTGGGACTCGGGTCAGGATTTTATGCCCATTGTGCACCAAAGTTTGGGAGTTAAAGCATTCTGAGTGCCTGTGCTGCTGGCAGGCTGCATCCCATTAATTAGACACAAATATTCATTAAAACCAGGAAATCACTGCTCCTGCAGGGCAGGAGGGGCTTTAAAGGGTTTCCAGCATCTCAGCAAAGGGGGTAAGGGAGCTCCCCTCGCATTCCCAACACCCCATACTTTCCCAGTGCTCCCGCAGCACTGGAGTTGTCCAAGAAGCCCCCAACCTTGCCGAGTGCAGGACTGCACCATTCCAGCATGTTCCCAGCCCTGGATCTCAGCCATTCTTCCTTTCTGGCTGGGGAACGTGTCTGCAGGTGCTGTGCGAGCCCGGACAGCGATTCCCATTGACTGTGGGGCCTGGCACCTGGCCGGAGCAGGGCACAGCCAGGACAGTACAGGGCCACAGCAGCCTGGCCAGCAAAGCTCTCCTGAGCCCAGCAGATGTTCCTGCAGCCTCTCTGCTCCTGGGGACCATGCCAGCCTGGTCCTTTTCCAGCAGCTCGTCACTCGACACCGGGAACAGTCCGCTGGCATCTTTTGTTGCCCACTGTGGAGTCAAGGACCTTGTGCTGGGAGAGGCAGGGGAGGGAGGGGACGTGGTAAAGGGACACAAATTTCTTTGGGTTGTGGGGTTTTTTTTTAGGTTTTGAGCTTGTTCTGTCTTGTAAAAACTTTTGGCAGCATCTCCTCGAAAGTGTATCCTGCTCTCCAGCCTCAGGCTCGCTGGGTTTTGTGTCAGGATCTCTTCTGCTGAGGGCAGGGTGGCTTCCTGTGCCTTCTCAGGGTGTCTCTTGGGCTTTGATGGGACAAATCATCCTCTGTCCCTTCCCCAGCTGGGTTCTGGTTCTGCTTGGTGGGCTATAATGATTGTTTTGTTTATGCCCAGGACAGTGACAGTGGTACTCATGTATTTTTGCCCAAGTTCATGCAGTGAGGCACCTGAATTGATTTCTTTCCACTTTCAGTCTTAAGCACAGTCCTGTGGTGGAAGTGGCTAAGGCTTTATGTCCAAACAAGCTCTGTGAAATCTGGTAGGGAGCATAAATCCAGATATTTCCTCTTCCCTTCTCCTGCTGCCACTTTGCACACACACTGTGAGGAGCCTCACTGTAAAATCAAGTCCACAGGGATGCCCAGCCAGGAGATCCTGATCCCACCAGTGACCCCATTTCTATCACAGGCTGTATTTCATAGAATCCCAGAATGGTTTGGCTTGGAAGGACCTTAAAGACCATCTAGATCCAAGCCCCTGCCCTGGGTGGGGATGCCTCTCACTGGATCAGTTTGCTCAGCATCCAGCCTGGTCTTGGACACTTCCAGGGATGGTGCAACCACAGACTCTCTAAGCAACCTGTGCCAAGGCCGCACCACCCTCACGGGGGAGAATTTCAGAGCTGGGGGTGCTCACCTGGAGAAAAGGAGACTCAGGGGTGCCCTCCTCACTGCACAGCTCCTGAAAGGTGCCTGTGCTCAGCTGGGGCTGGGCTCTTTCTCCAGCAGCACTGACACAACCAGAGCACACAGCCTCCAGCTGCACCAAGGGAAATACAGGCTGGATAGCAGGAAAAAGTTTTTCACAGAAAGGGTGATAAAGTTGTGGAATGGCTGCCCGGGGAGGTGGTGCAGTCCCCATCCCTGGGTGTGTTTAACAAAGCCTGGATGTGGCACTGGGGGCCAGGGTTCAGTTGAGCTGTTGGGGCTGGCTTGGACTCCATGGTCTTGAAGGTCTCTTCCAACCTGGTCATTCTGGGAATTCTTGCAGTAAGTTTTTGTTTTTCCTGCCCTCACCATGGTGCCCCCGTGTTTCTCGGCAGGCTGACGGGGAACGAACCCCTGACCATCCTCCCTCTGACCTCGGAAATGGAGGAGGCGGCCGTCAAGGCCCACTACAAGGTGTGTGACCGCCTGAAGCTGGAGAAGAAGCAGCGGCGGATGTGCCGGCGCGACCCCGGCGTGGCCGAGACCCTGATGGAGGCCATCAGCATGAGCGCCCTGGAGTGCCAGTACCAGTTCCGCTTCGAGCGCTGGAACTGCACCCTCGAGGGCCGCTACCGCGCCAGCCTCCTCAAGAGAGGTGAGTCTGGGGTCTTCTCAAGGGAGGTGAGTCTGGGGAGCTTCTCAAGGGAAATGAGTCTGGGGGGCTTCTCAAGGGAGGTGAGTCTGGGGGCTCCTCAAGAGAAATGAGTCTGGGGTCTTCTCAAGGGAGGTGAGTCTGGGGGGCTTCTCAAGGGAGGTGAGTCTGGGGGCTCCTCAAGAGAAATGAGTCTGGGGTCTTCTCAAGGGAGGTGAGTCTGGGGGGCTTCTCAAGGGAGGTGAGTCTGGGGGGCTTCTCAAGAGAGGTGAGTCTGGGGGCTGGGGGCTTCTCAAGAGAAATGAGTCTGGTGTCTCCTTAAGAAAGGTGAGTCTGGAGGGTCACAGGGGGGTCCTCAAGAGAGGTGAGTCTGGGGGGGGTCACAGGAGCTCCTTAAGGGAGGTGAGTCTGGGGGATCTCAGGGGGTTTCCTCAAGAGAAATGAGTCTGGGGGGGGTCCTCAAGGGAGGTGAGTCTGGGGGGCTTCTCAAGAGAAATGAGTCCGGTGTCTCCTTAAGAAAGGCGTGTCTGGGGGGTCACAGGGGGCTCCTCAAGAGAGGTGACTCTGGGGGACCTCAAGAGAGGTGGGTCTGGGGGGGTCTGCTGGTCTGGGGATCTCCTCAAGGGAGGTGAGTCTTGGCAGTTCCTCAAGGGAGGCGAGTCTGGGGTCTCCTCAAGGAAGGTGAATCTGGGGGTCTCCTCAAGAGAGCTGAGTCTGGGGGGGTCTCGGGGCTCTCCTCAAGGGAGGTGAGTCTGAGGGGTCTCAGGGATCCCTGCACTCATCTCCTCCTGCCCTGATGGCCAGTCTGGGCCATCCTTTGCTGGTGGTGCTTCCCCTGAGGACCACCAAGAGCTCTGTGCAAGGCTGGAGCTCATCCCTGGAAGAGCAGGGCAGGCAAAGAATGTGCTAATGGAGGTAATTTATGGGCTTGCCCTGCCTGCTTCCCACTGCTGGCCCTGGCTGCTCTCCTTGGAGGCTGGAGGTGTTTGTGCAGGTCTCTGCAGCCAGGAGCTGCATTTTCTGCCCATTTCTGCTGGAAATTGAGCTGCTGCTGGAGGAGAGGGTTGGGAAGCTCCCAAAGCTGTCCCCTCTTTATTATTTCTCCTATTTATTTCTCCTATTTATTTACCCTGTTTATTATGCCAGTCAGTCAGGAAAGAAGTTGAGAAAATGCCTTTTTTAAGGAAATAAGGCAAACCAGACTGTTCTGTGCTGTCCTCTTAGAGGGGCCAAGGGGAACCCTGTCACAGTACAGGGCAAAACCTGCAAATGGTTTTGTGCTGTTACTGCCATGGATGTGGGCAGTGGGTAATTCCCACACATCTTCCCCCAGCTCAGGTGGAGATAGCCAGAAATTAGGAGTGTTGGAGGAGAAGGTGATATTTTTAGTTCTTTTCTTTGTGTCTCCATATACAGTCCAGTTTCGTCCACCCTCCCAGCAAAATCCCGTTCTTATTTCCAGGCTGCAGCACCATTTTACAGACAGCGTTCTAGGGTCTCCAGGACTTCAGTGACTCACAGGAAGTCCCACACTCAGCAATGGGCCTGGACCTGCAAAAGCCATGGTGTGAAGCCTTTAAAGATAGGAGCAGAGGTTTGCAGGGCTAATTAGTGAGGAGGAGTAATTCAGAAGCACCGGGGCTTAACTAATGCACTGTCACTGACTGGTGGAAACAAGGAAAGTCCTTATGAAACCCAAGAGGTCCGGCCAGAGCTGCAAGACATTTAAAAATATCCCCGCATGCCAGAGGAGTCCCTGGATTAGTGGTGCCTTGGGGAAGCCAAGCACTTTCTCATGCTGACACCTGGAGGCCACAGCTCGTTCCTTCAGACCTGCCTGTCCCCTGGGCACTGCGGGGCAGCCTGGAGTTAAAAGCCCACAGAGACCCCCCCATGGCAGCCCTTGTCAGGGAGCTGTGTGATAAATGAGAGCTCTGAGGGCTGCAGGGCTCTGCTGCTGTCTCATCCTGCCGTGCTTTATATGCCTGCAGCATCTCTGCCCTGCCCCGGTGCTGTAAATCCTTCAGCTGGTGTTCCTGAGCAGTAACACAGTGCTCTGTAAATCTTCCTCCTCCTCCTCTCCGGGAGCTGCTGGCTCCTGGTTCAGCATTGCAGCAAGTGGTACCCCAGGGCAAAGGCTGGTGTGTATCATCCACTAGGACACAGCTTTCCAAATTCATCTCTGAGAGCTTGTTTCTCCTCCCCCAGGACTTTGCAGGGAGAAAGGAAAAAGGGGGAGGAAAAAACCCCACTTTTTTCACCTAAAAGTTTCTCCCTCTGTGGGGCAGAAACTTTTTTACACTTTGGTCACCAGACCAGCCCTGGCTGCTGGTTTGCAGCTTGGGCTGATGCAGCCCCGTTTCTTAAAATAACAGGGGATTGTTTAAGGGACTCGTTATCCTCTTTGGATACTCGTGCACAATTTTGGAAATGGCTGAAACTGGATAGCCAGGCCCGGCAGACTGTCAATGCACTGGGGCTTAGAATGCCTGCATTGATTTAAAGCTCATTATCTTGTTACAAAATATCTTGGTGCAATCAAATAGTGCGTGGTGGAGATGGCTTTAAAATCTGGCCAGAGCCAAATGTCACATGGAGCTCGTTGGGAGCTGTGAGATGATCCCCGTGCTGATGGGCACGGGGAATTTGGGAAGCTCTCAGTGGTGGAGAACGGGAGGAGTCGAAACAAAGCTGGTGGAAAGGGAGAAGCTGGCAGATGAGCTGTTCCTCCTGGCTTTCTGTCAGGTCTGGAATGCGTTGTGGTCGCACGGCGCTGACTTTCTGCTGGGATTCCACAACCGCTCCGAATTCAGAGCTGGGTGCAGAGCTGGGCTGCCTAATTAATCAATTAAGGCTGATGGCTGGGAGCTACGTGTGCAAGGCCAGCTTGGGTAGGGCTTGGGGCGTCCCTGCCCAAGACAGGATGGATCTCAGGGTCCCTTCCAACCCAAACCACGCCATGATTGCAGGCTCAGATCTCCAGGGCAGGGTTTGCACGCCCCATCCCACTGAGGATTCTCTGCTTGACACTGGCGCCTCTTCATTCCGTGTAGCTGTGGCAAGAATTCTCCAACCCGGCAGCACAGAGGCTTGGGAACATCTGTCCTTGATAGTGGCATCCCTCGGACAGGCCTGTGGGTAGTCTGACCTGGGGTGTAGAAACAAACCAAGGATTTTAGTAGAAAAACAGAGTTGACAAAGGATGAGAGATGCTTAGGAGGTATTTTCTACCCAGAGGAGGCATCTGGGTACCCATGAGTTTTTTGTTGTGTGAATTAAGGATTCTCTCGCCACTCCCAATGGAGTATTTGCAGTGCTGAAGGTGTTTCTGGGCTGTCAGAGGACATGGTCTGACTTCAGGGAGAAAAGAAAATTTGTTATTTTAGCTCTCACCACTCTTTGTGGTGTCCTCAGTGAGTGCAGAGGTGAACCTTTTGTATTTTAGTGTTGTTTCTGGTGAGGAAAAGGCTCTTGTTCTCCTTTTCCAGGTGAGCAGTAGAATGATTGGGTAATTCCTACCACAATCTGGGAAAAAGTAGAACCTCAGAAGCCTTGGGAGGACCAAACCTCAGTCTCCTGGGGTGGATTTTCATCAGTCTTCCTGCTTCTGGGAGTGTTTTGGGAAGGCAGACTCTGGGAACGACCACATGAGTTTGCTTGGACTGTCATGAACCTCCCAAGGAACAGTTCCAAAAATGACCTGGCAGTGTCTCTGCATGTCCTTGGTTGACACACCAGCTCACAGATATATCCACTACTGTCACCATCCACTTGTGTTATTTTTGAGTGGGGGATTTCTTGAGTCCCATCCAAAGCTGTTCTGGAATTGCATCTCAAATATGCAGTCGTTTACAGCTTCCATAGCTGGAGAATGGGCAGCTATAAATACTGCCATATTTGCTTTTTATTTCTGGCTTTTATAATTTGGATTGAAACCGTGGGTCCCTCTGGGTGTCATTTGCCTGTCGGGGGCGTGGATGCTGTCACATCCCTGCAGGTGAGTGTGGGGGTGTAAAGAAAGGCTGTGCATGGTAGGTTTGAGGTGTAAATTGGGGATTTTTTTGAGTGAGGTGCTGCGTTGGGTGACACATCTCCTGCTTCCCAGCGCTCAGGTGTCACCTGTCAGCAATTCTGCCAGTCTGGAGCAGGACCCAGTGATTTGATTCAGGAGGAGAGGGAAGAATGAGGAGGATTGGAAGTCTGTGCTGGGTTCCTGCAGTTTGCTGTCCCCTTGGTAGCAGCAGTGGTACCTCCATGTCCTGTCCCACTCTTCATGGAGTCAAACAATGCTTTGGCTTTGAGGGGACTTTGAAGCTCATCCAGTTCCACCCCCTGCCATGGGGAGGGACACATTCCAGTAGACCAGGTTGCTCCAAGCCCTGCCCAGCCTGATCTTGGACACTTCCAGGGATGGGGCAACTCTTGCTCAACTCTTTCCATTTTCAGGCAGAGACTGTGAGTGACACAGAGTGACAGCCACCGAGCTGGCCAGATTCCATTTGCGTTCCTGAATCCTGGCTTGTGCCACCTCTGTCCATCATTCCTTGCCCTCCCCCGTGCCCTCTTCACCATCAGTGATGCAAGTAGAGCTTGCCATGCTTTCAGGGTGTCAGGAGCACAGCCCAGGCTTTTGCCAGAGGTGCCCAGCAGTGCCACAGGAGGAACAGGCAGGAGCTGGTGCCCAGGAAATTCTACCTGAACTTGAGGAAGAACTTCTTTCCTGGGCAGTGACTGAGCACTGGTGTGGAGTCTCCCTCGCCAGGGACATTCCAGAGTGGTCTGGATGTAATCCTGAGCCCCGTGCTCTGGGATGGCCCTGGGATGAAGCAGGGAGGTGCCACCAGCTGCCCCACTGCGGTCCCTTCCAACCTTACCACTCCATTACCCCGTGACACAACTCACGCTCTTCTCCCCATAAGTTTTACCTCCATCTCCTGAGGTATTTTTTTTCCCTTTCTTTAAGCTGCAATTAGAGCCTCTCCCTCCTGTCCCTGCAGGTTTTAAGGAGACAGCCTTCCTGTACGCCATCTCCTCGGCAGGGCTGACCCACGCCATGGCCAAGGCATGCAGCGCGGGGCGCATGGAGCGCTGCACCTGCGACGAGGCCCCCGACCTGGAGAACAGGGAGGCCTGGCAGTGGGGAGGCTGTGGGGACAACCTCAAGTACAGCAACAAGTTCGTCAAGGAGTTCCTGGGGAGGAAGCCCAACAAGGACCTGCGAGCCAGGGTGGACTTCCACAACAACCTGGTGGGCATGAAGGTGCGTTGAAGGCGCCCGCAGGGTGGTGGTGGGGGGTCACGCTGCTGTGGGGTTTTGGGGGGAATAATGCTGCTCTTGGGTGTGGAATAGGAATGTTGGATGTGAAATGGATGGAGCGGTGCTCCTTCTGGAGGGGAGAAATCTGAGTTGCGGGATTATGCCCTGGTTTTCGCTGTGCAAAACCACTGGAGACCAGAGGGAAATAAATGGGACTGGTCAGGTTTAGGAAATACGAGGTGGAGACAAAGATTGCTGGTTTCCCACAGGGAGGAGAGGGTTTTGTATCACAAAGAGATGGAAAGACAGATTCCTCAGGCTTACATGGGGTAGGACATGGAGGAAGGATTTTATACTGCCACAACAGGTCCTTGAGGGACACTTCTCTAGCAGCAGTTCAGTAGAGCATGGACAGTGTAGCATCTCCTTGGCCAGGTTTCTTTAAAACTGGCTGGAGAAACAGCTGGCAGGGAACCAGGGTGGAGAGATTAATTTCTGGCTGACCTCAGACCTAACAGTCCCTTCAGTTTTGTCTTCTGGCAGAAACCTTCTGTGTCACCTAGAGCACAGAAACCTTCTGTGTCACCTAGAGCAGGAGATGGTGCTTGGTTATAGAGTCCCTTTTTTCTTTTCCCGTCTTTATCCTCTCTTCCTGCTCTTTACACCTCCTCTGAGGCTGCCTAGGGGCCTCCCTGCAGGACTGCCAGAATTCAGGAAGCATTTGGACAATGCTCCAGGGCACATGGTGTGATTTTTGGGTTTGTCCCGTGCAGGGCCAGGATTTGGACTCGATGATCCCTGTGGGTCCCTTCCAGCTCAGCATTTTCCATGACAGATGTAAAGGACAAAGTGTCTGCAAGTGCTGGGTCATCCCAGCAAGGGGAAAAGGAAGAGGCTTTCCACCTTCTCCCATAATATGCTTGGCTGTACCTAGCCTAGAGTTGCTCCAACACGAAAATCCCTCAGATTGGCCAGCACAGGTGCTTAGGATCAGTGTTTCATTGCACCAACCTCCAAGGGGGACATACTGCAAGGCCAGAAATAGCCCTCGAGCCTTGTTATTGTCTGTGTGATTGGATGCAGGCTTGGGGCTGGGATGGGGGACCTGGGTCTCCAGTTTCCCAGGCAAATGCAGCCCAGCCAGTTGTGCATTCTAGGAATGGCCACCCCAGCTCAGTTGTTGCTGTGTCTATGTATAAAATGTCATTCCTCGCGACGGAATTGGGGCATCGGGGAATGCCACCAGCCAGGGCTGGCCAGCAAAGTGTCTCCCCCTCTCCCCACTACCAGATGCTCCCAGACAGTGCTGAGATCAGGATTAGAAATATCCTGGATTTAGCTGGTGTCTGGTTTTGGCTGACAGCTTTCCTGCTCTGGATTAAAGGGCTCAGTGTCTCTGAACTCCTGTGGCAGCTCTTTGACGTGTGAAACAGGCTTTGCAGGATGATGGAACTTGTTTCAACCCTGGTGTTGGTTGCTCTGTCCCATCTTTTGGAGTTGAGTGTGTAGCAGATGGGATGGCAGTGGAGAAGGTGGCCCGTGGAGGCTGTGATTCCGTGCTGGATGTTTCTGTGAGATGTCCTGGTTCTCCTTTCATTCCAGAGTCACAGTCTCATCAAAACCTCCAAGGATGTGACTTTGGTTGCCACTGGCAAGTCCTTGTAGCTCCAGGAGTATCCACCAACAGTGGCAGGGCTAAAAGCCTCCCAGATGGGTTTGGCCCAACTCCCAGGGTTCCCAATCCCAGGAGCTGAAGTCAGGATGTCCATATGGCTGAGGCCACTCTTGGATTTAGGGTTTGTGTCCTTAATTATCATCTGTGCTCTACACTGCACGACTTTGAGCTAAACAAACTCCAAGGATGAGCAGGAGAGGTTCAACCTTCCCTTCTGTGTCCTGATCCTTGCGAGTTAGCTCCCAGGGGAAGATGCAGGACTCTCAGCATCCTCTGCCTCCACTTCCCTTGGCACAGTGGGACTCTGGCCACTGGCAGTGGTTTCACAGTGTGATATCTGCAGCTAAACAGCTGAGTAACAGTTGTGACAGTTGTCCAGACACCGAGAGCCCTCCTGGCAGTCCAAGTCACAGACCTCTGCTGCAGGTCAGTGATCCAGTGTTCCTATTTTCGTCCACCCACAACGTGTCTGTCGAGCTGGGATTGCTGTGTGACAGCTTTCCTTTGCCTGTTTGCAGCAGCAGTTGAAATCACTTCTCTGTTTGTGCTGCTGGATATAAGAATTCGTTGTGCCGTGGTGTGGTTGAAAGCCAAGCCAAGCACCCCACCAGGCTCACAGCACCACAATGGAGCCAGGCAGAGAAGGAGGGAATGTTGAGGAGGAAGCTTTCAGGAGGGTGGTGGTAGAAGATCAGGAGAACACACATCTGTATGGCTGGGATATGTGGCCCTAAACCCCTGGCACAACTTGGTGTCACTGAGACGATGATCAGAGATGAGGACCCAGGCTGGCTTTGTGACAACAAAGTCAAAACTTGCAATACTTGCTTCAGACTCTAGAATATTGAAACTAATTTGACCCTCTTGATGTGGTGGATGGATTGTCTTTGGCACTGCTTGCTCTCAGGGGTGGGTTAATATCAGGTTTGATCTCTGTTCATCCTCCTGTTCCCACTGCAAGTGCAGGGATGAGAGGATGGAGGCTGAGAGCACTACTGCATTCCTTGCTGAGTTTGTGGATAATTTCCTTGAGGAAGGTAGTGAGTTAAAGAGGATTCTCAGCACGTTTTCTGTGTCTTCAAAGAAGCTGCTCACCAACCAACTCCTGCCATAAAGACTTTGCCACTGTCAAGTAGGGTTTGCTCACCCAGCGACTGCAGCAGTCTGAAACCACTTTGGACTAACCTAGCGTGGTTATTGGAACAATAACTCATCTGGACTTGATTTGGGGTGGATCAAAGGCAGTATAGGGGTGCAGACAGCCTTGATTGGTGCCATTTTGGAGCTGAGCAGTTTGGAGCTGGAGTTCTTGCAGCGTGTGGATGTGTGTGTTCACTGAGGGAGTGGAGAAGTCTCTACGAATGACACAGCACAAGCTTGGTGGTCCCTCACTGATTTTTTACGTGTCATTTTCCCCATCTAATTACTCCCAACCATGGCAAAACATACAAATAGTCCCTTGAGACCCAGCAAAAAAAGGACCTGTGCTGGACTGACTAATTTGGCAAGCAACCTTCTCCCCTCCTGGTCACCACACCAGTTTCTCCATGGTGTCACACCAGCAAACAATCCGTGTGTTTCTGCGAGGGTGACATGATCCTATCCCGCCTAGTTTTAGTGTCTCTTGGTAGACGTTCTCATTTAATTATGATTTTACTTCTGCTTTTTACAACCTTGATGGGCTGCCTGTAATTTTGCTGCCACCAGTGAAATAATCACTGAACATGTTGTGCCCGTGGTGGCTCACCAAGTTATATGATATGACCTCAGTGGTTAATGAAAGGGTGAGCTTGTCTAGTGTGAGGATGAGGTAATTAGACCAGGACTTCTCCAGCCTTCTCTTTATTGAAAAGCAGGAGCTCTGAATAGACCACTTATTAAAAAAGCAATTTCCCTTCCTTTGCCAGATCTACTCTCCCTCATTCAGCCATTCTTTCCGAGGGGTCTTGGGTGGAGAGGGTGTTTTGGGGGGAGATGTGTGTGTGGAAGGGATGGGGGAGAAGTCAACTGTATTAAAGCTCTGTTGCCAGCAATGAAGTTTCTCTGAGTTATATTAAATGAAGCCCAGGCAGCCTTGCTAAAGCTCTCATCTTCTCTCTATCCTCCCCCCTTTTCCCCCTTGTACACACTAGTGCAGCCCTCTTTTGTAACCCATTAATGAAAAGGAGGAATATTAGAGCACTCAATTAGTTCCACTGGGCTTGAGTAAGTGATGTTTTAATTAAATTTGCCCAGTTTCTCAGCCAAGTATCATTAAACATGACTTTCCAACTCCCTCTCTGGAGCGTTGCTAAGTTTCTTAATCCCAGGAGTGCTGACCTCTTCCAGAGGTATGTCTGGTCAAGCATGTCTTACAGATCCAAGGGGCACAATTAAAAGGGGCTGCTGTTACCCTAGGAAAAAAAAAATTATCATGTTCTCATTGCCTTTTTCCTTCATCCTTCCAGAAGGAGGGACACAAACCTTTGCCTGAAGTTTGTGTGTAGCCACAGTTGTCTTGAGAGCCGAGCGCATTTAATACAGAATTATGGGGAGGTAGAGATGAAGAAGAAAAGATCTCTCTTCGAGCAGTTCCCTGGTTTGAAATTGGTTCCTTTCATGAGGCTTCATTGTTTTTTGCACAAGATGCTTTGGTCTGTGCAGAGCAAGTGTTTCTGAAGGATCCTGGAATGGTTTGGGTTGGAAGGGACCTTAAAGGTCGCCTCGTCCCAGCCCCCTGTCATGGTCCTTGTCACCCTTGTAGGCTTCAAGTCCAGACTCATCCTGAGACAGCTACACCTGAAACCATCTGGGATGCTCTGGAGAGGATAGTGGGAGGTGCCTGGACTTTCCTTTGCTGTTGACTTGCTTATTTTGGAATTCCATCTGAGGAATGGCTTTTCCCCCCAGGGCAGTGCTGGCAGGGATCTCTTCGGAGGGCTGGAGATGCACTCTCCATATCAGGGAGATGTTTGCCCAGCTATCATCTGTCTGAGGAACTTCATGAGCTATCACATAACACGTTATCAGAGCATGCCACCCCTCTTCATTTCTGGAGCTCCGTTGGGCAGAGGGGGGAAACTGAGACCCAGAAAGATTAAGTGACTCACTAAAGGTCACACACAGGCGGAGGGAGGCACAACTCTCCTGTTGCAGAGACAGTGTTTACAAGCACTGACCGTCCAGTCTCACACAGTTCCTGCTCATTAACACAGTTCCAGTCCAACTCCAGGTTTTGCTGCGCCCTCGTGATGTGTAATAATTGCTGTTTCAGAGCTTAATCCACTTGGTGAGTGCAAAAAAACACAAGGCATAAAGCATCCTTTTTGGCAGTTTTTTAGGGATGTGTTTGCAGTGAGAAATGGGGCATCACATGTTTACCAAGGTACAAATCAAACCCAGCAAATAACAGCCTGAGAAGAGCTCTTAATGTACAGATCAGTTTTCAGGGCCACCACTGGTATTAATTGCTGCAGGTTATGACAGGTAGGAATGCTCAGGCGTGCTCTCTGGATTTTCCTCTCCTTTCAGGCTGAGAATGGCTCAGCCAAAGCCTTTCTTAGGCCTGGAAATCAATACTCTGGAAAAAAAATTGCTTGCTGTGTCCCATAAGTGATTGCAGTTGGTTGTTTATGTGGAGCTTTTTTAGCATGGGAAGCATGCTAGGAATACTGAGCATGGGGAAAATACTTCTGAAGTTCTCAGTTTTAAGCAGGGTTATGTTGTTCTATGCTTAAATGTTTGTGTTTTAATACCTATGTCACTAAAATATGAATGTTCCTGTTTTTTAAAGAGGGAAGGGTGGTGGGAGGAGAAAACTGTTCTGAAAAAGCAGGTTGAGAACAGGCTGAAAAAAAAGTTTTTTTTAACAAGGTAGAAGAAAAAAGAAAGGACAACTTCTAACAATCTGTGAAACTTTTATAGTTCAGCCAGTGGCACTGGCCAGTGTGAAGGGACAAGTCTGGTCCACTGGTTGTGTGTGGGGACCGTGGCTGCTGTCCAAACAAACATTAATTCTTGAGCTGAGAGGATGACTAAGCCTATTTAAATTGAAGAGGGGGGATGGAGAGGATTGGGTTTGTGGGGAAGCATCCCAAAGCCCTTCCCAAAGCCAGGCAAGGCTTTTCCCTGGATGAGCTGCCTGCCAGGAGGGTTTGCTGCCTCCTCTCCCCCAAACCATAGCGAATGGTTTGAAGCCTTGGAGCCGCAGCCCAGCCATGACGACAGCGGAGCAATAAGCGAGGAATTCCCACGGCCGGGTGTCCGCCCTGGGCTGCTGCTGCCCAGACAAGAGTTGTCTGAAAAAAAAAAACCAAAAAAAAAAAAAAAACCACTGCCAGAGCCCCGTGACCCAGCTGGGAATGAATGGGAATCCTGTCCTCGGCGTTTCAGCTAAAACACTGAGAAATTGTGTGTTGCAGCATGTCTGAGACTGATCATGACGGGGGCACTTAGTCTGAGCTTCGCAGTGCACCATTGTTGGGAGGAAGGATTACATGTTGCATAGCAATGCTCTGCTGTGATCCCTTTTCCCCATGTAAAGCCAGTTGGGAAGGCAGTCCAGCAGCGCTATCTGATTTCCTCTGAGCAGGAAAACCCCAGGAAAAACGGTTCTGTCTTGCTTTGTGTTTTCCTCATTCTGCGTTTGTCAGTATTGGGTGTTCTCATGGCAAGGTCAGTGGGAATTTGTGTTCCTAAGTCAAGCGAAGTAGTGCGAAAATCCTTATTTTCCTCCCAAATTGTTCTGTCTGAGACTGCCAGACCAGGTGGTTGTTCAGAGGAGAGAGGGAGGACAGAATTCCCATGTGTGATGTCATCCCTGACCCACCACTTGTCTTTGTTTGGCTTTGTTTTCATGGTAGGAGCTCTCTACAGCAGACAGTACGAAAAGGATGCTCCTTCTTGCTGCTACTCCTGAGTTACTACAACCCCGGTGCTGTGTGGTAGCTGTGGAGTTGGGGCCATGGGGAGCACGAAATATTTTGTGCCTTGGATGGAAGCTGAGCCATTCTGCTTCACATCTGTGACAAAGGTGCAGGTGGCCACATTCTTGGTGTGGATGAAGTGGTTATTCAGTGGTGAGTTCAGAACAGGTTTAGGTCTGTGTAGGATGGAGGTAAATCAGGCTCTGAACTGTGATGAGCCTTGAAGAGAAAGCAGGAGCTACTACAGCTCTTGAAATATTATTTTATATGGTAAAACCTTATTCTTCCTCATCTAACCCAGAGATTTTTGGAAATAAAACCGGTGTTTTTCTATCCTGGAAGAAGGATAGAAGACCTTCAGGTTTGAAAGCGTGATCCAGACATTTGTCCCAGGATCCAGCCAGCAAAGCTTTCTCCAAGCAACCTGCTGACTTGGATCAGTCTTGCTCTGCTTCCTGAAGAAATGAGGTGGATTTAAGTGTCTCTGACAGGAGCTTGCAGCAAGAGGAGGAAAGGTCGTTGTGGAAGCTGGGGAGCGGGACGGGAACCAGAGGGGCTTTGCCAAGATTCATTTTGGCTCGTGGGTGGCTGGGGCCCGGAGGCAGCAGTTCCCCATCACGCAGCGCCTCGAGGAGCTGCAGCGTGACTGACAGCAGCAGGGGAGGCTGCCTGGGCAGGGAATTTTTCTAGGATTTTCACTCTTGCTGCCTCGTAACATTCTTGAGCCCGTCCCGGTCCTTCCAGGAGAAGGTTTACGGGGCGGTTGGGATGCACCGCGCTCGCACGGCAGCCATAGGAAAATCCACACGCTGGATTTCATGAACTGGTGCATTCATGGGGATAGGGACAATGGAAACCTTTTATGCTTTGGTCCACCAGAGCTGTCCTAGCCACTGCTTAACAAGGAGCTAGAAGCGAGTCAGGAAAATCCAGACTGGGGTTCATGTGGAACTTTGAGCCCAGATGAGGAGAACAGAATTAAATTACCTAAATACGCTTATTAGTACCCCTTGAGAGACCTTTATGCTGCTGCCAGGACAGCTGGTGCAAGGAGAATGTTTTAAAGCACCTCAGTTAGTGCTAGGTGGAAATATTTAAACACCTGAGTTTGGCCCAGAGGGTGGGATTCTGCTCACAGAATCCCCTGAACTGAGGTGCCTCTGTGTGGGCTGAGTCCCCAGGCTCCTGTTGGTGATAGAGATGTGCTCAGCTGTCAGTGGGAGCCTGGAGAGCTGTTCAGTGGAGCAGGTGTTTGCCTCACTGCAGGGTCCTCCCCTGCTTTGGCTGCCCTGACTGCGATGAGAGTTCTGATGTGTTTCTCAAACTGAGGTGTTTAAACTCGAGCGTTTGCCTCGGTGAGGTCAACCCTGGCTGGCTGGTGTGATTCAAGTGCCTAAACCTACATGCTTACACCTGACTGAAGGTCCTGTGCCATCAGCCAGCTGCCAATCCATCAGGATCAGGTTTTCCAACATGTGTTGGGCTGTATCCACCAGCCCCACGTGGATGCCTTGGCTGTAGTGCTCCTGCAATGTCAGCGCTCCCACAGAGCTCCAGAGAGGTGGCTCCTGACAAGAACAGCCCCGACTCCAGGTTCCCTTCCTGAGTTTCATGACCCTGTCTTGTTCAATCAGCTCCAAGCCCAGGAGCACGACTACAAGCTGAGCCAGTTCCCGTTGGTTTCTTGCCTTCCCAGCTCCTGTGCAATGGGGGTTGTCTCCTTTCCCAGGTGGAGCAGATGCAAATGCACTGGGGGAGGAGGAAAGGTTGAGGAAAGCCTGAACTGATGAATGACTGCAGTGTGCAGCCCTTTTCCAAGTATCCCAGCAATTTCTGCCCGGTTTGCTGATGGTGTGGGCGTGAAATCAGGTGGAGGAGCTTTGTTTCACACGAACTCAGCTCTCACTTCTGGACAAGCAGTGAAACGGGACTTTACACGAGGGAGGGGACGGGTGAGGGTTGGGGTTTTCCCCCCCCTCCTCGGTGTTGAAATGTGTTCTGCACGCTCTTGTCTGACATTGTGGGATTTCTTGTGGACTTGGCGAGACACTTTGGCACACAAAGCGTGACAGCCCTTACCCAAGCCATCCCAGCTGAGCGCTATAACCAGCAACACATCTCCCCCTGTAACCCGTCACCGCTTTGAATGCTACTGTGTATTATTGGATTGCACTTGCAAAGGTCTTTGGCTGTCACAGGAATGAAGTGTGACCATTGGACAGGCTCTGCTGAAGGCTGCATTATGCATATTGTCTTTCTAAAAATGTTTCTGGAATATCACAATTGGGCCAGGCCCCAATTCCGAGTCCATGACCTATTGCACGGTTGCACATGGGGCTCAGCAGGATTTGTGCAGCCAAATAATTAAGAACCGGATGGTCAGGAAATGGACTGCAGCCAGCTCTCTGCTGTCAGGAGGCCACAGCATAGCCAGATGCCATCATGGGCACAGGGGGAGGTTGTTTTCTTCTTTTTTAGGTACCGTAGATGCCCAAAGGAAGGGCACTCAACAGTACTTTGGTACCTTGTCAGGACCCAGCTCTGTCAAGCAAACTGTCCTTACCTGCTGTTTTAAGGAGTGGTTGTACCTTACCCATTTAAAGTCAACACAACCTAATTTTGGGGAAGGGGCAGGATGGGAGAATTAGAAATACAAATTTGTGTGTATAATTTGTGGGCAAAATGTAGGGTATCTGTGGCTATCCAAATAACATCTCTGCTCTTGAGTTGCCCATGGAGGTACCCCAGGTGTAAATCTCTCTCTGGAGAAGGGGAGCTGGAACATTCCAATGCTGTTTCGAAGTAGATGGATGTGGTTTTGTGCCGTGAAACTTCTTTATTGCAGTTGATTTGAAAAGGATGGGATCCTTTGTTTAGCATCAGTCAGTTGATGGTGCTGAACCAAGATTCCTTCTGCTCGTACTTGGGTTTGGGGTCCTGTGGTATGGAGAAGGTTCCTGTTGTCCACACTCCTGTTCTGGAGCATGTGTCACCCCACCTCCTTCCACTTCTTCCACTTTTATATCTTACCTACTTATTATTGACAAAGACAAATAGGTGTTAAAATATGTATTAATCTCTTAGTTGTATCACAGTTTCAGATCTCTGGCTACACAATGAGTGGCAGCACTGGACAATCTTTGTGCACCTTTCCAGTATCTTTAATTAGCCAATTAAGCAAGTTTTTGCGGGTGAACGTCATACTCTGGGAACTAAGAGCCTTTTGAAGTATTTCCTGTAGGATGTGTTTTCTGTCTGCTTCCAACAGATACTTTTTGTGTTGTCATCAACTTGGTGTCCCTGAAGCGTCTTCTAGAAAATGTTGTGTTTTACTTGTTTTGATTTCCTCCGCCATGACTGATTCTCTTTGGGGCCGTGTGTGTGTCTGCAGGTCATCAAAGCTGGCGTGGAGACCACCTGCAAATGCCACGGCGTGTCTGGATCCTGCACCGTCAGAACGTGCTGGAGGCAGCTCTCCCCCTTCCACGAGATCGGGAAGCAGCTGAAGCAGAAGTACGAGACCTCGCTCAAGGTGGGCAGCACCACCAACGAGGCCACGGGGGAAGGCGACATTTCCCCCCCTAAAAAATCCATCCCCGGCCACAGCGATCAAATCCCAAGGACTACGGATCTCGTCTACATTGACGACTCCCCGAGCTTCTGCCTGATGAGTCGGTATTCCCCCGGGACCTCGGGACGGAAGTGTTACAAGGACAAGAACTGCGACAGCATCTGCTGCGGCCGGGGCCACAACACGCAGAGCCGGGTGGTGACGCGCCCGTGCCAGTGCCAGGTGCGTTGGTGCTGCTACGTGGAGTGCAAGCAGTGCACCCAGAGAGAGGAGGTTTACACCTGCAAGGACTGACACAACCTGCGGCTTCTGCTGCACGGCCGCCCCCGGGGATGGGCCAGCTTGGAGAACTGCCTATGGAGACAAACAGGGTTTGATTGACCTTCTGGCATCTGGAAGCTATGTTGAGACATGAGCACTTTGTAGGGTACAGGTGACCCAGCTGTGTTGCTGTTTTGTTTTGGGGTTTTTTGTTTTGTTTTTTGTTTTGTTTATCCTATAGACTGAATTTTCATGAGGTCCAACCGTGTGGAAATAAGTGCCTGTCACACTGGGGTTAGACACCAGTTGACCTTCACCTTCGTCGTCTACGTAGTTTGACGGATCATTTCTCCTTGGAACGTTGTTTCAGCCATCCTCCATGAACTCCTGGGCTAAGAGATTCCCTTTGGCATGAATATCCTGTACTTCTTTATTCCTGGAGCTCACCCATCTGCTTAGAGAGCTGATACAAAAGATCTTTCCACTCTTGAGTGCGGTGGTGCCGGAAGCGGACATTTATTTCTCCTAAAACTGGAGAGGGATTTGTAGGGAATGATAGGTTCTTCCAGTGGAGTTTCTGCACATGGAGCAAACCAGGCTCTGACAAAGAGACCCACTGGGAGCGTCAGCTCTTTAATGACAGCTCCGGATCCATGTGCATCGTCACCACGTACAGCTTGGAAACGTTGGGTCCACCACGCTGCAGACAGAAATAGATCCAAGAAAGAGGTTGGGAAGACAGCAGAACACCAGATGTGCCTGTCCCCTTCAGTCCAGTCCCGTTCTTTATTTAAAACAATTCACCCAAATGCAGGCTCTTTAGCACTATCGCTGTCTTAAATTTAAATTTTTTTTTAAACCACTAGATACTTGTTTCATTTTCACTTCGCGCATGATTTATTTTTCTCTCCTCTTCCCACCTCTTGCTGATGGAGGTCAACCTGTGGTAACTGCTTCAGAAATCCCAACTGGAACTTGTTGAGTCTTATGCCAGCTGAATTTTGACGTGTTTCTCTTGAGTAGGACAAGAGGAATCCGAGTGCCTCTTGGAAGCCGGGGCTGTCTTGCCTTGTGGAGCAGCCATTTTGGCCTGGATCAGACCTCTGGAGGAGTTGACTTTTCTTTCCTAGGTCATCATTCCATTTACTCTAAACCATGGCAGTGGTACATGACACAAGCTGTATGTAAACCCTATGACCTTAAGATGATTTTTTTTTTTAACCACTAGATCAAGAGCTGTACTTTAAAAACACACCTGCTAAATCCTAACAAACTCATGGATTTGGAATAACCAATCGACACAGAGACAACCTGAGAGAAGCCAGAAATTTGACTGCAGGGGTTCATCACTCCAATGCTGTGAAACACATGACAACCTCCAGCATTTCTTTTTTGCTTGGAAGAGGAGATTTACAATCCAGGACTTGGCGTGCCAATATTCTTTGTATAAAAGTGGATTGGAGGCAGCCAGCAAATGCCTGAATTAAGCTTTCTAAGTTAAAAATGGGGAGCAGAGGGTGTTTTGTTTGATTTTTGGTAGCAATTTTTGATTGTCCAGTAGTAGCAATTTCCACCAAGTTTCTATAAGCCATTGATCTGGTGTTCAAAAGAGGAGATTCTCAAGCATTAGTAAATATTAGTAAGACAAAATGAGAGCAATTTGCCAAGACGGACTGTTATTTTTCAGTCTTTTTTTCCTTATTTTTATTTAATTCCGCCCCCCCCTAATTATAGCCACTAATATTTAAGCTGTTCATATGCATCTGCTGGGAAGAGAAAAGATAGATTTGGGGTTTTCTTAGTAACAAATACCTGCAATTCAACCTGGCTCATTGGCATCAAATCTTGAGGAGGGGGCAGCGGGAGTGACAGGGTGTTACTGTTTAATAGCACCATGGTTCTGCAGAGTGAAGCAAAATGTCTCTTTTTTGGTGTTTCCTTATTTGCTGTACCATTCTGGAGGTTGGGATAATGCTGGAGGAGCGAAGGTGGAATCCACATGTGGAATTCCCACCTTCCAAACCAGCAAAGCACCGGGAAGGTCTTGCAGCTTTTGAGAAAGTCACCCCCGAGCAGTTTATCTAATGGTTTAAAAAATAAATCACCTAGAAACCTATTATTCAGTGTGTATATATAGATATATATGCACACCTTGACACATAAATATATATATATATATATATATATATAAATATTGAACATTTATTTATTGTAAAGCCCTTCAGAAGGACCTTCTTATGGTTTCAATGTGGTATTATGTTAAATTCTCTTTCTCCCTCTGTCTCTCTCTCTCACACATATGTGCAAACTCACTGTTACATTTTTGTGTGTTCTAGAATAGCTCTTCCCCTTCAAAGTAAAGCCAGATCCAAACCTGCTCAAAACAGGAATTTTGGGGTCTGAATTACTATTTCTGGCTACATTCTTTCTTTCTTTTTTTTTTAATCTGTTCTTAATTAAAGGATGGGCCGCAATTTATGTGCATTATTATTATTATTATTAATTATTATTATTATTATTATTGTTATATTTAAACCATGGGCCTCATTTTCCTCCTTTTCACTGGTGTCTCTGTCTCCATTGACCTCGCTGGAGTAACTCCACATTGCACTGGTGTGAGAGGAGAATGAGTCCCTAGAAGAGAGGGGAGTGTTGGCATGGATATCCTGGCCAAAAAAATGCTGGGATAGGATGGGATGGGATAGGGAATCTTGGTGTGTTCAGCAGTGTGGGGGAGAGAGACATGGGTGGGAAATAAGGCAGATTGTCCAAGCTTGTCTAGAAGAAAGCAGCAAAGAGTGAATGAACTACTGAGTGAAAGAGCTCTTCTGTGTATTATAACTCACGCACTGAAGCCTGGATGCTTTCTGTAAGTATTAAAAAAAAAAAAAAAAAAAAAAAAAAAAAAAAAAAAAAAAAAAAAAAAAAAAAAAAAAAAAGAATAATAAGAAAAAAACCACCACAAATTGTATTTATGTTCATGTGGATATAGTACTTGCCTGTTATATATTGTAAATAGCAAGGTTTATTCTCCTGTGGTTAAAAAAAAATTATAAATAACTAAATAGTAGCGAGGCACATGTGTTAAATGTATAGGCAGTGTATAAAATATACTAACACTCTGAAATCAGGAGAACTTGTCTTCTTGGCCTTTTGACCTAGGGTGGTAAAACAAATGTGGGTTATTTTTCTTCTCCCCCCTGCACCACGCTGTGGGTGTGTTTTGGGCAGGGGGTCTTTAGTTCCAGCGTTTTCCAATGTTTGCCTTATCGTTGAAGAAGGAACTGGGGCAAAAGCCTCCTTCTGGAAAAATCCAGTGGAGCTGAAATAGGAGCTGGGAGAGAGATGTCAAACCATCTCAAAACCCTTTGGAGTGCTAGGCCTGGGTTTTCTGATGGTGAGAGATGTGTTGGAGTTGAATTTACTCATGGAGTACAAGTGCTACTCCATCCACAAGTCTGGAAAACCCTAAACAAGAGACTGGGAACTCCTGTATAAAACACTGCGGAGTGTCCTGCAAAACCTTTTTGTCCCAGCTGGATTAATCTGGATTTTTCCAGAGAGGCTGATTCTGCCACCACACCATTGGATCTCCAGTGCAATTCAGTGAAATTGCTCGGTTTTGTAAAACTACTTCAGCGGTGGATTTGGGTCCCGAACTTTTTCATGGTGTCATTTCATACGTATATATATCTATATATTAAAAAAAAAAAGTGCAAAGCAACTTTCCCCCTTTTTCGTATCCCCAGAGAAACAGGATTTTGCTCAGATGTAACTGGAGAAGGACAGATGGGTGGAGGGGAGATCTCTGGTTCCTGACCCCCTTTCACCCCCTGTCCCCCCAAAAGTGTCAAAGTGTTGGTTCTCCTAAGCTGATCCAACCCAATCAGTTTTGGGGTAGGGGGGTGCAACCATTATTTATATAACTTTTTTATTAATTTTTTAAAAAAGAGAAGTTAGCTGATGGAAGAATATTTTTATTGAATAGTGCATTTTAGTTATGTCAGAAATATAAAAAAAATATATAATATTTTTGTAAACAAGGCAAACTGAAAACGTTTGCTGTTTTATATTAGAATTTTCTATTAAAAGAAATAAAAACCCACAGAAATAATTGTTGCACCCGTCATCTGTTTTTTAACAAGCTTCTATTCTGTGTGACTGACTCATTTATGCCGGATGTGGAGAAATGCAAAACAAGTCCTAAACATTATGTTCTCCTTATCTTCCAGTTATCAAAAACTCCAGTTGGTGAAACAAACAGTGCTTAATCAAAGGGGATTTTTAATTATTATCATTATTAATGCTAAAAATGAGTTATGAAAAGCGAGTAGCTTGTAATGGAAAGATAAAAAAATCTCTCCTAAAATTTCAAGTTTACCCTTTTTTAGCTGAACATCCTGGTTTTGAGATGGGTCTGGATGGAGGAAATCCCAAATATATTCACAATTATCAGGGATTTGCCATTGAGCTCAGTTGGCTGGGGAAGAACAGCTCTTAAAAAGGTGGTTGGGGAAAATAAAATCAGAATCTGAGTACATTGCAAGGTTAAATGAAAAGGACCAAATTCCAGGCTTGATCCAACACAAGCAACTTTTATCTATTTGAATGGGGCAGTATAAAACTGGGGAGCCGGGGATTCGCTCTGCTGTGATTCAGGAAGTTTGCCCATCACCTTGGGAAGCAGGGAATGATTTATGGACCCCCTGTTTTCTTAAGAACTTTTGGGATTGCTGGTTTGGAGACCTGAGCAGGGGCTCAAATAATTTCTGAGGAGATTTTGTTGTCAGGCAGCTCGTTGACATCTGCCTCCCTTCAGGCCAGGTCTGGAATTCCTTTGTCCGTCGTTTTTCAGCTGCCCCGTTTTAGGGAACATACAGTCGGGTGTTTTGGCTGGGGTAGGCTTGGATGAGACCCCAGATGAAGGGACAGATTTCTCAAGGGTACTTTCATGGAGTAGATGCTGCTTAAGGTGATTTTCTGGTGGATTATGGTGCCTGTGAAAAATTCCTCAGTTGATGCTGCAGTAAAATCCGGTCTGTTCTGTACCCTGTGGAACAGGTGCAGTAAAGCTCCTCATTCCCGGTTTATCCAGCTCTGCAGACACATCTGTTGGGTTGAGTCTGGCTTCTGTGGCCAGCTCACCCTGGATTTCAGTTTTTTAGGGTGCTAATTAGGTGATGACTTTTAGAAAGTGACGTTTTCCCACAAGAAATACAAGATGTGGCCTTTCTGGACCGCATGTCTCAGTATGGCACAGGAATCACAGAATCATGGAATGTTTGGGGCTGGAAGGGGTCTTTAAGGTCCATCTCATTCCAGCCTCCTGGTTGAATCTGCTCAGCCCCCTGAAACCTGGTCATGGGTGTTACCACGGAATAGCTTTTAGATCTGTTTTTCACCAACTAACATTGGATTTGACCAAATTATTCACAAACAGAATATTTCTGAATAGAGCAAAGAAAAAAGGGAATCTTGAGGCTTTGTGGGTGGGGAGGAAAAGAAAATGGATTTGGCAGCACAGTTTTACTTTGGCTTCCTGTAACTACAATTCCTCAGGTGCAGGGAGGGAGTGGGAAGTGAGGCCAGAAATTATGCAGACACATCGAATTCACCTGTCAGGGGAAACATCGGAATTCTGCCTTTCTCTCAGTTGTTGCTGAGTGTTTTCAGAAATGGGGAAAACCCTTCTTAGCACTGGGCAAGGTGACCCAAAAGGCCAGGAGATGACTTCCCTGAGAAGTGTTGGGAGAGGTGTTTGGCACTGGTGTGCAATGGATCTGGAATAATTCCCCTTGGGAAAGCAGCCCCTGGTCTGCAGTCAGCGGGGGCACCAAAGGAAGGTGTTTGGCCCCTGTGGAGCTGCCAGTTTTCCCTGCTGACAGTAGAAGGGGATAAAGACATCCAGGTTAGCAGAGGTGAGATTGAATTCAGGAAAATCAGGAGATGTGTGGATAATCCTTCCAGCTCCCCCTGAGCATGGATCCATCTGAAACACCAATCACCAAACCAGCCCAGGAATTTCCCTTGGACCACCCCACCTTTAATAATTTAAAGCAGGAATGTAAAGTCTAGGATTTGTTTTGCACACCTGGGATGGCATTTCCTTTTAAAGGGAGGTGGGAATACTAACATGAAGGAT